GCGGGCCCCCGACCAGCCAGGTGTACGTGTTCGGCCGAGGCGGCGCGGACGCGGGGGCTCCTCGGAGGACGAGTCCCCCAGGTGGCTCTGCGGCCGCGGCGCCCGGAGAAGGCTGCCCAGCGCCCTGCGCCGCCCGGAGCGGGGAGCATCGTGCTGCTGCAGCGGGAGCTGGCCCGGGACGACAGCCTCAACCGGCTCGCCCTGCAGTACGGCTGCCAAGTAAGACCCCGGGGGGAGGCCTGGCCGCCCCTTCCCGCCGGGCCGGGGGCTGGGGAGGCCTCGCGGCTGCCCGCGCTCACAGGTGGAAGCACTTTCCCTCCCATGGGCTCAGCGCGTCAGGGTAGGAGTCCCAGCTGGTGGGCTGAGCCCTTTTTGCAAAATCCCTCTCCTCTTCCCTGCCCCTCCCCCCCCAACAGATTCTGAAACCTTTCTTTCCTTTGGAGCTCATTGTATTTAAGACCTAATGGGCCAGAGGCGCCAGGCAGAATTTATGCAAGATTTCTTTGGTGTGCTTGCTTTATTTTTACTTATTTATGTACTTGTTTATCTGTGGCTGCGTCTCTTTTTCCGAGCCTTTCTTGCTGGTGGTCACTTATTCCGTTGGTCACGTTGCCCCGTCTCTCTCTCTCTGGAGCTGCATGAGCGAGCCTCTCCGTGCGCTGTGCCCTGTGTAACCCTGTTTCTCTCTCTAATTGTGTCTTTAGCGCTCAGAGTGATTGACAGTGGCCAAGTAAGTAGGAACGTGTTTCCGGAACGGCTGCGTTTGCTCCTGGGTGGGAACTGGTTGTTGTGCGTGGCTGGCGCTCTGCGACCGATGGCTTTCTGGGGCTTTCTCTAAGGCCGCCCGGCAACCTTCTCTCTAAATCTTCCCTCCTTCACGTGACTCCTTTCTCTAACGAGGCCCCAATGGCGAGCACCTGTGTGGGGTGCGGCGCTGTTTCCCGGGGAAACACACAGCCTGGTCCCGGGTACACGTGGTGGGCGCTGCCTTGTGCTGAAATGTGTACATTTGGCTCCTAAAACGCTCTGTGGGCAGCTGTACGGGTCCATGTGTATGAGCGAACCCTGCCCTACACACCTGAGCAGACACCGCCAGTTCCTTGGAGGTGATGCTCAGTGGACCCAGGAAGCCGGATAATGCCTCCGGCACATGCCCGGTCTCCCCATCGGGAGTAAGAAGTTCGCTGGTAGTTTGTTAGGGACACAGACACAGGGTCTCAGACACCTTCTGCCTGAATTCAGGACGTGGATGAAACAAGCCCCTCAGCCCAGTGTAACCAGGTGATTAAAACCAGCTGAGACGCAGGTAGCGGCGACCTCGGCGTGAGTGCGCCCTGTCCGCAGCCCTGTGGACTGTGACCTGTGTTCACACGCGGCCTTGCTCCGTTCAGACCATGGAGCCCGTCCCCGATGCTCACACAGGAGCTGGAGGAAGGGCCTGCCCTGGCCTCACACCCCTCCCTTCTGGGAGGTGCTGGCCCTGAACGCTGCTGGTTTCTAAAACGCACCGAGTCGCTCCTTCCTCCTCGAGCCCTAGTGCTGGCCGGGGAGGGTCGGCCCCTGGCTCCCCACCCTGGTTTGTGAGTCTCCGCCCGCTTCTGAGCAGCCTAAGAAGTGTGTGTGCGAGGGCACAGCTCTGAGCACGTGGTTAGGGAGAGCTGGGTCCATCGCAGCTGCCCACTGGGTTCTGCTGGGGGCGGGGGCAGCCAGACGGGGGCACTGTTGCCTCAGAAGTTACAAGAAGAACAGGCCAAGGCGGTCCTTTCGCCACCATGGCTGTGGCTCACCTCACAGCACCTTGTGGCAGCCACACTGCAAACAACAAAGCCTTTTCCAAAACTGATCTCAGGTTGTTGACACTCGGAAATCTATAGGAACTGTTGAGGATTGGCTGTATGTTAAAGCCAGAGACCAGCGTTCTTTAGCCTGAAGTAAGTTTGTGCGTAGCTGCAGTTTTCCACTGGTTCATTGTATTATTTTTCTTTAAAATATATTCTTATTGATTTCAGAGAGGAAGAGGGAGGGAGAGAGAAATAGAAACATCAGTGATGAGAGAGAATCATGGATCGGCTGCCTCCTGCACGTCCCACACTGGGGTTCGAGCCCGCAACCCAGGCATGTGCCCTGACCGGGCATTGAACTGAGACCTCCTGGTTCCTAGGTCGATGCTCAGCCCCTGAGCCACGCCGACGGGGCGTGTCCATCCTATTCGTAAGCTGGGCGGGCGTGGACCACCCCCCGGAAAGGCTAAGGGCTGCTTTTGGAGGTCAGTTCCCAGGGGCTGTCTGTCTGTCGTGATGCTTGTGTCATGGCTTCCCCAGGTTGCAGACATCAAGCAAGCCAACAACTTCATCAGAGAGCAAGACTTGTTCGCTTTGAAATCTGTTAAGATTCCCGTGAGAAACCACGGGATCCTCACCGAGACCCACCGAGAGCTCAGACCCCTCCCGGGCCCGTCCTCAGAGACCAGAGTGACGGTGGAGGAGCCGCCGGCCCCGGACAGCGCCGCCCCGCCCAGCCCGCTGACGGCGTTCTTCCAGGGCATCGACCGCAACATCGAGCGCGCGGCGCAGTCGGAAATCCTCACCAGCGAGAGTCCCCACGCGGGGCCCGGCCAGCCGCGCCTGCCCGCTGCTCCCAAGGCGCCGCCGCTCGGCGCCGACTGCGGGATCCGGTGGTGGAACGCCGTCTGCCTCATGCTCCTCGTCGGCGTCGTCCTGCCCGTGTTCTATCTGGTCTATTTCAAGATCCGCGCCGCGGGCGACGTTCCTGGTGGCTGGGACACGACCGCTGTCCCCAGGGGCTCGGTGGCGGCGAGTGCGGCTCCAGGGCAGACCCCCAGGCTGGCGGCTCCGGTGCCCAGCACCCGCTCTCCGGGCAGCCGGCTCCGGCAGACCTGGGCGGGGAGCTAGCTGCGGTGTCTCAGGAAGCGGCCCGCGCGGCCGGCTGTGCATCGGGCTCCCGATCCCCACCGGCCGGCAGGGCCACACCCAGCGGGCGGCCCACGGACTCGCTTTGGAAGCCTCCCACGTTCTCGGCTAACACCCACCTCCTAGCCAAGGCCGCGAGCCGCCCCCCGGGCCTCCTGCACCCAGGAAGCGGGGGCAGGGACATTGCAGGGACGTGCCCTTGGTTTTGAAGGCATCGGGTGGCTGGCCCTGCGTGTCTCGCAGCAGCCCCTGCGCACCCCGGGCGCCAGGTGCAGGGACAGGCGGCCTGCGCTGCTCCCTGACTCCATCCTCAGGGTCCCAGAGCCGCAGGAGGGACAGCGCCCAGTGTTTCCTCTGGGTGACCAGCACCCCCATACATGGACAGGAGGGCCCGTGTGCTGAAAGACCCACTTACTCGAGGGCGCAGGGGTGCCCCTCCTGCGAAAGCCATAGAGAGGGCGATGCTGGCTGCCTGCGGTGCCCTCTCCATCTGTTCATTCTACAGTGGTGCCCAGTGCGTGGCTCAAGGGGGCATGGGGCGCCCTCTGAGGCCCTGCGGGGGGCGGGGGGGGGGGGACAGCCTGCTTTGCGGAGCCCATGTTGGGTCCCATTTGAGGGGTGATGGGGCGGGTGGCTCAGTC